CCAGATGTAAAAGTTTCCATCGAATTCGGTATCGAAAAGCGCCAAAATGGCGCCTACTGGCGTTATATGGCGTCGACCACAAATGCGCTCTCAGATTCTAATCAGAGCCTAGCGCAGTCCCTACAGCCCAAAGAGAACCATTTTGGAGCACTGCCAATACAGCAATATTTAACTAGGTACTGCCGCAGCAGTACCTAGTTGAATAATTTCAATTTCCAATAAAAATATCTCATGGAGTCAGCAACATTTTTCTTGCTCATCCCTGTTGGACATGGTTGACCAAGACTGACGGCAATAACCCGAAAAGTGGTGAGAAAAATTATGAGCCACCTTTGGCACATATTGTCCCACGTGGGCACTCACATATGAGCCACCGCTGGCTTGCAATGTCGTCAACATGCCAACTGAAAATTCGTCGTTGCAGGTTTTCTCTTCCCGAGCAGCGAGGAAACTCGTCTGCGTGGAGGTTGTCACCTTTTATTAGGTTGTCCGGGAAGTTCTCAGCGTTTTGAGTGTTCCACTTTAAAGGATCATAATAATTCTTAATACTCATCGGATTTAATTGAAATAAGCACCTTTCGAATCAGCACACTTTTCCAATGTGACCCCAGTCGATAAATTTCATCAAAAAAAACTGGGTGGTCGAGAAGCCACGAAATCCACGAAGGCTTTTTTGCCTGGTCCTGATTGATGGAGTATTTTCCAGCGAAGAGGTTCTGAAAATGTTTGAAAAGGTGATAGTCGGTTGGTGAAAAGTATGGAGAATATGGCGGGTGAGGTAGAACTTCAACCCCCAATTCGTTCAATTTATGGATGGTGATTTGTAAAACATGTGGGCGGGCGTTGTCATGCAAAAGAATCGGACCCTTCCTTTTGATAAGTGTTGGCTGCAGCTGACAAAATTTTCGGTACATTTCGTCGATTTCTTCACAGTAGGGTTCTGATGTGATGGTTTGGCCTGGTGAAAAAAAGTTATAGTGGATCACACCAGCCAATGACCCCACACTGTGACCATAATCTTTTTTTCGTGAGGATTCGGCTTTGGAAATTGCCTCGGCGGTTCGTCGACATCCAACCACTGTCCGGAACGTTTCCTGTTATCATACATGATCCACTTTATCACAGGTGATAATTCAGTTCAAAACGCTCCTGTTGCGCAAAAGCAGTGAAGAAGAAACCTCGAGACGTGCCAGTTTCTGCCGGTCACTCAAACTGTGAGGCACTGGAGTTTTTTCACCTTCCCATTGCGTTTCAGACCATCCGCAACAGTGGATTTGCCAACGTCTAGCTTTTTGTAATCTCTCGAGCTGGTTGGGATGGATCAGCCTCCACAAATTCCTTCAAATCCTCGTCAGGTATTGCTTTAGGTCGACCGCTATGAGGTTCTTCTTCAAAGCTGAATCTCCAGAACGAAATTTGTTGAACCATTGTCGCACGGTGCTTTCTCCAACACTACTGGACCCCCACATCTGGTTAGTTTGTCGAGCTGTCTCGACTGCGGATTGACCCAATTTGTAGTTGAAGAGAAATATCGTCCAAAGTTGCTCGTTTGACATGCTTCAAAAAGTTTTGGGAAAAGGGGGTCTACCAACCATTGGTGAAACGGCAATTATACCATCAGATAGCGCAAAAAATTCTCTTCATGATGTACGAGACGCGAGGGAGAATGAGTTTTGAATCAGCAATGAGTGTACAAAAAATGGTAACACGAAACGCTGAAAACTTTCCGGACAACCTAATGGAAAGGCATACTTCACCTACACACAATTTCTGGAGGATAGGTAAAGACTAGATGACAGCGAGATAGTGAGGACAGCGAGATTCACGCTTTGATTTTTATTGAATTTCCAGTACAGCTTCAATTTCAGGTGCACAGAATATAACATAGCAAATGCTCTCACTAAATGCGGTCACCCACGCTACAGTTCAATAGATCCGCTATACACCTCTATCCTACAGCCAAGCTGTCACACTTTTTTGCTGTTTTTTTGACTACTGTCTCCTCCAAATACGACCCAGCCTAGAATGGCATCAGTAATCTATAAACAGCTCGAGGCAGTTCTATCTGGTCGTGAACATCTGACCGGGGATTGCTCTGGCACAATACGCCTATCAACCGCCCATCTTACGTGAGCGTCCTGAATAAAACTGTTATTATTCCGTCATTCCATGGTGTATCTTTTCATTCCTACGCCTTGCTCATAGACTTCACAGAGTGCGCCTCTTCGAGAATTTTTTTAGAAACCGCTCACGTGAAGTATTGCTCGAAAGGCGTCTCCATTTTTTTGAAAACTGAGTCAATACAAGTGTTGTTGAAGGCAATAGGATTCTTCGGATCTTTGCGCGCACATTCCTCCATTAGTTGCTCATCAGTACAGTCTAAAATAAAGAATACAGATTACTTGATTTCGTAGCGCCTTTTCGGGAGTGCTGATGGCCATCCGTCCAGTGGCCCTGGAACTCCTTGCGGGCCAAGCTGAACACGGACACTCAAATGGAGGTGGCAGGCCTTTAAGATGGGCCGGCCTACTGATACCCATGTCCATCACAGTTTTTAACTACGCCGTATGAATTCCGAGATAATCCTCCTCCGCGGGAGCCGGTGAGCACTTGCAAGGCACAGACCACTTGCAGTGCGGAAAGTATGCGAGGGTCCCAGACGCAAGGAGGGGTCAACCAGGCTAGTCTGAAAATCTAGCAATTTTTAAGGCGCATTGTAACGCTGAACGTTGGAACGTTTACAGGACGTGTAAGAGTATGAAGGGCAGAAGCATGCACTAGGCTGCAGAAGAATCAGTCCCTGTCACTGCAGCATACAAGATGGACCGGCTATCAAGCGGGAAAACTGGCCGCGACTTCAAAGCAGTTTCTGTGGTAGGCCGAATACCAAAATTGGTGTGGCTGTAACTGTGTCACAGCGGTCCCGTGACTCGTTTACTAGTGTGGTTACTACTAGAGTGGTTCGCTTCGGCAACCGCTCAGTGAAGATTGGTGTCGCTGTCGAACAAAGACTGTACCGCATCTTCTCTGCATAGACCCCGCAAATTGGGTGCTCCGGGAAAACCAAAGACGACTTTCCGGTTCTGCTTAAAGATAAGGACGGCTGAAGTAACATCAGAAGACGCTATAATTGACGCCGACGACTGGAATTGTTCACGTGGGCGCTGCGAACGACGGTTACGCTTGCCATGGTGTACTTGGCTGATTCTGGGAGGCGCGCTTAAATTTCGTCACACACAGACATTCTTAGCGGACTATATGCAGTAGAATTTCTCTGGGCATGTTCATGACGATTTTGATGAAAAAACCGTGGGCCATGTTGGCGCCGACAGCATACTGGCCAAATGGTGTCGCTGCTGAAAGCGAGTGCCATGTTCACGATAAGCGGCACTGAGTAACCATTAGAGACCAAGTTTCAGCAGAAAAATCCTTTGAGATTTTGGAACTGCAACATTTGAAAAAAAATGGATCAGAAGAAGATATCCCTAGCAGCGTCGCTACTTTCCACAGCCCTAATACTTCCAGAGCACGCCGTCATTGTGGAAATCACAACAAAGTTTCGTAAACGCACGGCTCATTCAGAAATGGGAACAGCAGTAATACTGAGATGTCATACAATACTTGATTGTCATACGAAACCTGGCAAGATTTATTTTTAGTTCTTGCATTTGGAGAGACATCTGAAGACAGAGGCAAGATACAAACTCAGAAGTGGGGAACGAGCGGTGACTAGAAATACGGTTGGCGCCCAAGGTGACGTTACTACTCAATAAAGAAACAAGATATAGTACAAGCTCGGACCTTCCTGAACCGTAGGAGCACATCTGCTCGCACGAAAATGTCCTTCACCAACACCTGAGTGAGCGGGAGTCTACGCAATATAGAGGGAATGTCCATCGACGCCAAATGAGCTAGTTCCTCATAGCTCCGACGAAAAGGTATGCTCTAGAAGCTTACTCACATCTTCAAGCGAGCTGGAAATGGTACCGCGCCGGAGATGTGGGTTTCTCGCGTCACCCGGAACTTGTTACAACAAAATCACAACAGGAAAATCTTCTGAATGTCGGGGAAAAAAGTGAGGTGCACTAAAGGTACATATTGAGGGATGCGGTACTGTATTTGGTTCCTCAAGGGATCACATATGAAGAGGGTGGGAAGAAGGCTGTCAAGGAAACTAAAAGGTGACACTAAAATGTCACAACTAAATCGCAAGTGGGGGGAAGCTCCTCAAAAGAAGGGGAGGTTCAGTGTGCTTCACAATTAATGAATCCAAATGTAGAGCTCTACAACTCCCTTTTTCTCTCTTCAGAAGCTCGCTCAAAAAAGTTATGGTTGCTCAAAATAAGGGTATTCCGGAGCTCCCGGAATATTTTGCAGCACACGTCGCGAAACAGCTCGCTTCAATGCCACACTAGAAAAGAGTTTTGAATGCATGCGCGCAATCTGCTCTGAGTGTGCACGAACAATTAAATTTCGAGTATGATATTCTACATAAGCTACATTTTGTCTTCTTTCTCGGAGCGGGAGAGGAGGGTCGGAGCGAAATCCGCTTTCAGAGGGGGTCGTGATCAATTGAAATTTATCACAACGTGATGGCCTGCTCAGATTGGGAGACGGGCAAGAGCATCGCAATTTGCCGCTCCGCCGCGCACGGCCATGGGCGCGGCGTTTACTCAACTCGTGTTAAGGTGTCGATTCAAGCACCGAACTTCATGTAGACCCCGCCAATAGACATTCAAGGCTATTTTCGGTTCTGCAATACCTATTGTCACGTCTGCTACCTGGAGCCATCATCATTTGCTGGCGCGACGTCGCAGCGAAGCCCGCCAGCGTGGTGAATTACGATTCTCTTGTCACATACCCGCCCAGATTACCCCGCCCACCTTTCCAACCTTTCTAACAATGAGGGATTGCAGTCTAAGTGTAAGCAAAGTGCAAGCATAGATCATGCATACGAAAAGGGCACTGAAAGGGAAAGAAGGGGTAAGACAGGAACATCTTTACTCACAGATATCGTTCCACACATTATCGCAACTTCCCATTGCTGGCATCATACCGATGACAGCGGCGGAAAGATAAAGGAAACTCCAGGCAACAATCACACAGTAGTAGATGCTGACTGTTAGCGAAATGAGCGTCATTGACCATCCTAGACCTGGAAATACGAATTGCTGGTCTGAAAAGAAGCGCTGATCGAATATAGGCACGCATCGAAAGTAGAAGACAAGCTGTACACTCATCTCCAAACACAGTTTTTCCATGTTAAAGGTGAATAGATTCAAAGCTGCGACAGCCTGTCACTTTCTTTCCTCAAAGACGCGCAGAAACTAGGATGGAAAGAAGTGAACCTGGTGCCAGTTCCATACTCCGCCTCATTATCGTCAAGGTAGAGCACTAGGCAGCTACCTATATCCTGCAGCGAAATACATACTCAGCGGTAAAGAATATCTAGAAGCGAGAGGGCGCAGAAATGTGCGTTTGGCCATTTGGCTGTGATTTCGAGGACAGCGCGCAGCTAAGCATGTAGTCAGCGGGATATCGTAAACCTTCAGCCTGGTCAACTATAGTTTGGAGCAGGCAAGTGACAGGCGTAGCTGCGGACCCGTTTACCTCACACATAGCAAGGGTCAGGACCGTGGAAGTGACTGTACAGTTTGTCTTCAAAGGCACAATCCGCGACTACGAGCCGGGAGATGTAGGTTTAGCTGGTTCCATGGGGAAAAAAAAAATAATCATTAAACCAATAAGACGCCTCTGACTCCAAGAGTTGTACGAGCAACTGGCGAAGCACCAACGTGCAAAAGAGGAACGGAGATAAATCCGCGCGAGAGTACAGGGAGGAGCCATCGGGAGATTCTGCTACGCGACCGTGATTCGGTGTCTGAGTTCACAGTTCGGGGTCTGATTTCTCCGCCACTGTAGACCACCCTGTTGAGCTTCGGCCGAGCCCGGTAATTGAGGGGTTTAGGATGGGTGACACAGTGATATCAAGTCTTCTTCAAGTTCTCAACGTCTTTCGATTCCAAGTAGACGAGAGTCTTTCCAACGCCCTTCGATTCCATTAAGTGACACCAAATCCTGTAGTACGAAGTTTGCAAGATGGTACAGGCAAAGACATTAAGGCAGGATATTCTCTCGAGCTGTTCAATGTAATCGTCAGTGTTCACTTTCATTCCGGGTCCACGAACCGCTCTTCCAGAACCTTCAGGTCTATGCCATCAACCCGCGACTTGGTTAGTGCGGTGAAGTGGACCGTAGCGATGTTGTCGGAGCTGCTTGATAATGGAGGTCTTTCGATCAAGGGTAGCTGTCCACGGGTGACTCAATACAAGAAGTTTTGCAGCTGTCTGGAGGTGACGTGAATTCCATAGCCTTTCAGTCAGGCTGCGATTGGAGATGTCTTCATGTTTTGGTGTACATGAAAATGATAGGGGAGAGCGTGCTCCTGCACTTAGGTATCTACGGCCCTGGTACTCGTATCCACGTCTTATCTAGGCTGCTTATGCTTTACTGATATATGACTGGGCCGAAGTCTTTTTTTTTGCTCCCCCCCCTGTATATAACGAGGAATACGGCACAGCCTTAGGGCAGCTGTGAAGTGAGATAAAAGGTAGGTGAACGAACTCTTTGGACGGCGCTCGGCCATCGTTGCATACATGTGGCATTTTTATAAGGACTTCAAGTCGCCACAGGGTACATTTACTGCGACTGTAAACAGGGCTACACTGTGAAATAGAAGGATTTTTGTACGTCAGGTAACGGCGGACTCCGTCTTTGGTCGTTTTTTTGCTTTTTTTTTCATGGATAGGGGTAGTGGTAGTTCAGCGCCTTTAGGCTGTGCTCTACAGTGACCTGAACTCATCCAAAGAAAGTGAAATGTGTGGCTTTTTCCAAACAAACTGGTCGAAGAAAACAGTTTAGCACCTACACTCCTACCACGGCAAAATCTCCGCTTGGGAGCTACTTGAGCCTTCTAAAAGGCAAATGATGAAAGTTAAATTCAAACCTTGCAACGCTGGCATATAGTGCTTGAATATTATCGATGGTCCACAGCTCGTGTACTGACCAGCTAGCATTTCGAGGTACAGCGTCGGAAGTCCGAAGAGTACTGCGCAGACAAAATATGGGAAGAGAAATGCGCCTGAGATGGGATAACGCCACAATAAATTTTCGCCTAATCTATCAAACTCTTACTTCCTCCGTTATTATAAGCCAGAGCCGGAAATCGCCATACGTTCCCAAGTCCTACAGTCAGACCAATTGTCGCGAGAACAAATTCGACTTGGTTCGACCAGCGCCCTCTTTGCTCATCGTCCACATGTTCCAACTTTGAACCTAAAAAGAGTATAAAAGAGGGTACGATTTCTTGCAAATAAATGTATCTATTCTCAAACATAAGGATTAGCAAAACTAACTGTCTGCAGACTGCTCTAACGAACGCGACCTGGAATAGGAAATAACAAATCATCTAAAATCTAAGACATTTTCTGAGACGCAAGATGACTGGAGCATGAAGTTCCCGTTTCACTATTTTCAAACCAAATTCGCCCGCTGCTCAAACCAATCCTCCACACTTATCAGATCAGGACACTAGTCAGCCAGATCGCGCCAGACACCACTGCAAGCCCCGCCCCGACCACCACGCCTACTTTTTAGCGCGGTCATGAAGTTTCATTCTGTTTTATTTTTTGATTTCTGCTTCCATGACTTTTCAGACTTTTGCTGTTTCGCACATACACACTGACTGAAAAGGGCTGCACATCGGCACATGGTCGACTCTGCACATTTTTCATGGAATTTATTGCAAATTTCGAATTTTCATACTTTTCTCAACTTCTTTAGTTGCACATTCACTCTTCACACTGCGAAAGTATGCAATTACTATAGAGGAAATTACAATTATTATCAAATAGCGGAGTTGTAGTCACTGAGGATATCCCACTTTCGCGGCTCAGAAGCACTTGATAAAACCATGACAGCTAAGCAACGATAAGCCGACTCTGTCTGTGAAGGCGTAGCCAACAAGTACCATTTCGCCCATTTTTTATTACCAAGATTCGTTAGCGGTGAAAGGGGCGACATCAATGATAACTGAAACTAAGGAAATCTTACTAAAATGGCCTGAGAATGCGTCGAACCGGCACTGCGGCTACATTCTAAAAACCGTTAACTCGTCCATTTTTTATCCCGTATATGGGGGTTTGATTTGGATTATTTCGGCGTCGACAGCTGCCATGCTGGCGCCAGGGTGGTGGAAGAAATAGTTTAAAAAGAGGAAAGCGCTTTAAGGGTCGTCGAGGATACCGAATAACGATTCTTGTCCATAATGCAGAATAGAGGATGAGCAAGGAGCCGGAGCCATGACAACCAATTAAAAAAAAACAAACTAAACGCTGAAAGTATATAACACACAAAAACTGTTTTTGTTTGATAATGCTGTTTTACGCCGAGCAAGTAGAAACGACGATACGAGAGAGTTCTCAACAAGAAAGCTGAGTGTGAAAGCGGACCACGAGCGGACTCGAACGCTATTCTGCAATAAAAAAAAGGGCACAGAAAATATGACGTATAATACAAAAAAACAATAAACTACGCCGAGTGGCTATCGAATGATAGAAAACAAAAGAAGACTAGAAAAGTCAAAAAAATGGCCCCGGTACGTAAGTGTAATCGCAACTGCCCGTAAGCAGAAAATGGCGTTCGGGTCCCGCCCGTGGTCGACTTTTGCAGCATTCTTGTGATATATCCTAAGGTGTAAATGCTCACGATTACGCAAGAATTAAGAAACCAAACATTATAAAACAGAAATAAAATAAGAGACAGAAACTTGGAAGATTCAAAAAAGTATGACAAATTTCCTGCCAACCTAATACTAACTCCACAGCAATCGCGGAGTCTTTTAATATTTGATTGAGGCATAAGAAAGGCACTCGTAAGTAGAGCGACTTCGCTCTCACCCTCACCACAACCACCATCAAAAAATTAAACAACATGAGTAGCAATCCCGGTTGATCCATCGAGTCCTCGAGCGGGTGCAGTAACGTCTCATTCGTCCCTGTAACGGCAAGAGGGCACCAAGATAAAAATCTCATCAGCTCGAGGGACACGAGAACTTCATACAATTAGCCTCAGAGCTTTCACGAAGTAATAAACATAAGAGACCATCGCGTAGGCGGTTCCTTCCAGGCCGTTCGCTTGACATCCCGTAGAATCCAGTCGGTGATTGCTCTGGTCCAGCGGTCGTCCCGGAACGCATGACGTGCGGCACCTATCTTCGAAACCTTGGCAAATGCGGCGGTGTCTCTGATCTTCCGATCGTTGGCGGAGTGCGGAGCCCGGATTTCGCCTCTCTCAATTGCGTGTAGCGGATACCGCGAGCATCGCCCTTTCGATGGGCCGTTGAATAACGCACCGACCAAGCATGCTCATCCTGCGTTCGTAGAGTCCAAGTCTCTGGGCGTACGTCAACGGCAGGAAGGACCCCCGAGGTAATCGAAGAGGTGGGCAGCTGATTTGTGTTCTTCTCTCCTCGCTGCTCCCTCGATGTTCTTGAAGGTTATAAACCAAAAAGACCGCTCGCTTCTTCGCGTCAGCATCTGGAAACAATAGGATATCATTAACAATACAATAATAAAAAGCCTACACAAGCTAGAGCACTCAGAGATGGGTCGTTCCGTGAGCGGAATGGGCATCAGAATACAATCCGTTTCTCATGAAACATATGTCTTCGTTAGGTTCCAGCCGAGACCGATTCTTCTCCACACGCGAAGTCGAATTAGGCCAAATCGTTCCGCTTGCTCGATGTTGGCGTTATCAAGAACGCATGTCGTCAGCAAAGGGAGATGGTGGTAGTTTGCCGGACCGTCGATCTTCACTCCGCATGTCTCCCATTCAACTGACGCAGTTCTCGAGAGAGGGCGCTGAACGAAGCTTACGCGAGATGGGTCGCCCTGTCGGACCCCCTCTTCACATCAAATGATGATCTCCCCAAAAATATATGATGAAATGGTGACATCATACAGAAGAAACGATGAAGTTACTGTAGAGCTCACGAAAGAAGAAAAAAAAGGAAAAAAAAAAGCCTGTATGACTGAGTAGGAATACCCTGGTGCCCAGAGGTCTTCGATAACCTCGGCTTCTGTCTCAACGGAGTCGAACGGCTTTCTTCAAGTCGATAACGTGAGACACAACCGGCGATCTTGTAAGCATCATCAAGAGCAGAATACTTCAAGCTTCGTTTACCGTGTGGATGAATGAATACAAGAAATCGTAAAAAAAAAGCTGAATCCTCTGGAAACCCGTTGCCGCATGGCTGTCTTGTCTAGTGTTCTGGCCAATCCTGGTCAGGATGACTCGTGTGAAAAAGTTTTGTAGAACAGCAGACAGCAGGCAGATTGGGCGATAAGTTGCCAAGTCGTACAGGTTCCCTTTTGTACCCAGGTACCCTCGTGAAACCAGCAACACAGCTTAGCTGTTATATAACCCAACGAGGTGGGTACCGTTCATTCGACGGTAGCGCGCGCTGAAGAGTCGAGCTCAGCCGTTTGACAGAACTGGCGGAAGATCTTTCATCAGATGTTCGGGTCGTGATCCTGTCGACCAGAGTGCCGTACGTATTCTAAACCGACGAGATGGCAGATGTCGCGACCTCGGAAGAGAGCACTGGCAGGAACTGACATATCCATCCTGCTCCAAGCGTATGGTTGCAGGTGGACGTGGCTGTCAAGAGATCCGAGTAGAAGTCGCTGGATGACCTTCTCGCATTGCCCTTCTGGATGCGGTGATTGTTCGCATCCGGACGTCGAGGGCGTCATCTTAGTCCTTACACGTTGGCGAAGCTCGCGCGGGCGTTGCCGTACGCTCTTCCAGCCTCTGCGGCTTCCACCAGTAACTGGGTGCTGGATTAACTCTCACAATTAATGAAGTCTTCCTTTGATGCTTCTCTTGCAATTAGCTTCGCGAGCTCAGACGTCAGCTGGTAAATGCCTGGCGGCTCGTGCGGCTTCCAGCGTGTGGCGAATCCACTGAGAGTTCAAGAGATCGACGCTTCCTTGTAATCTTGGAGACGCCTCTAGAGCTATATAACATATAACGACAGTCGAGATAGAAAGAATTGTGCACACAGAGCCTTTGTATTCGCTCGTCGAGTTGTCAAATGACAGAAATCTCCAGAGCCCCAGCGAGAGAAGTGAAAAAATGATACCAAGTATGAAAAGGTGTCTTGGGGCTTCGCTTCTGAACTTTGCGGCTCTCTCTCTCGTATCGAAAGAGACGGAATCTGCGCGAAGGAGACGATGGTCGTCCGTGTAGAACTTAGGGACAACAGCGAAATCGATCAGGGAAAACCTTCGATGCAGATGAAGTGAGTGATCTCGTTATGGAATGTGTTTACGGCAGGAGACTCCCGATTCCAGCGTAGAGAGTAGGGCTTTTGGAATGCGAGTGTACATGGATTGTGTGGAGTTGACATGCCAAACTCAGAGAGAGAGCCAATTATCAACCATGCTCATTCCACTCCGTTCGATGAGTTCCGAAGTTGATGTTCTTCAGCCTTTCTTCTTGTTCCGATCTTAGCGTTGAAATCCGGACGCATGACCTTGAAGAAGTGTGTGATCTTCCTTGTAGAAGCTTCTTGTTCAATTACAATATATAAAAGAAAAAACAAGAGCAAATTAGCGAGAAGACTATCAGCCCGCGGTAAGACATATAGAGATGGATGGGAAGAAATTAGGCGACGAAGATTGTCATAGCTGGGGTTTGAACCACATGCTGGAGTTCATACGCACATCTGGGGCACACAATACAAGGACAAAACGTCTGATTCGCGTCCGTCAGCCTTTCGTTCGAATCAATGTTCATGGCAAGTGCGTGTTTGACGATGGCGCCCACACGCGCCAACTGCCGTTTGCGTCGCATGTTCCGAGAAGCAATTCTCTGCAGTCTCGTATACGCCGTGTGACGGCGATGGCCTCCTCGTTCTCGGTCAGTCCGATGCGTGTATTGATCTTGGCTTGCAACATCAGATCCTGATGTGCGCTTCCGATGGGCAAGCGCTCCCGTGCGTTTGAGAAAATACAGAACGTCATCCAAAAACTAGTCCTGGGCGACCTTGAATTCGCATTGGCCTGTGATTTTAGCGCGAGCCTCGCCCGAGCGGTCCCAGGCGACGTGCCCTGTCGGTGGTTTCCCAGGATTCAGAGGATGAGGCCCATAACTGTTACTAAAAAAAAAAAGTTTCGGCGATACAGAAGTTTAACCACGGCGTAGCTCGCCAGCGTTTTGACGTGGCACCATTCCCGCATGATGTACGTTTTTTAGGCAGTCCAAGACCGTCACATGGTGTCACCCTCACGCACGATGAGGCATGCGGATGATGGTATTGTCGGGGGGCAACCCACTATGAGAATGCCAATAAAATAAAGGCAGAAGATTCTATTTCCATCAATGCGTATCTTATTTAAGTTTTCGAGGTTCCTCGAAAGCCCAAATCGCAACAACGAACTGAAACCTCAAATCTCCGCAGCTTCCTAATCTCCAGAGAACGTGGTCTATGTAAACCTATTTTGGAGAGCAATCAGCAGGCGAAGCCGAACCCTCTATTTATTCTCAAAAATTGGGGATAACGAATTCCTGTCGGCATAAACCTCCATTTTTACACAGTACTCTAAATCCTACTGAGCTCACCCTTCTCAAACACTATCTCGTCTTCGATAGCGCAAGAGATCTCTAAGAAACTCAACGCATAGACCGCGTCACCTGGAAAGTCCATGACCATAAGACAGTCAGAAAAGAAACAAATTGAGCCAGAACTCTTACTGTGGTCCATAATACCTGACCGCAACCACAAGGCTCAATTCATCCACACTGAATATGGATCATTGATGCTAAATTGTTATCAAAACCGGAGATAAAAAAATGATATTCATCACTATTTTGACAAGTCAAAACAATACAGTGTTTGGATTCATGTTACTTCTATCGAAATCATGTTGGCAGTAACCGCTCGCCTCCGGCCATCTTGCGCGCAGTTTTTGAGCTATAGAGGCAACGGTCCGCGCTTGACAGTCTCTTATCTACTCTTATCAGCATATACTTACCTGTCACTTGTCATCAATGCCCATATTTCTAAACCTTCATAGTTTGGCTGTGTGAAAATCTCCTTAAACAGTTACGATGGCAGTGAAGTCACTATCAGTCGTTGTCCATTCACCCATCATTGTTGTCCCCGTTCCCCCCGCCGAATAACCTTTCGAGATTGACCTCCTACTCATGCTGCTACCCGCGCTATGAAGTTGGGGTCTCCCCCCGCCCGCCACATATTCTCTGTCCACAAGCAGCATGAGTAGTGAAACAGAATCGCGTATGACATCGCTGGAGGTGGGTCTTCTGCTCTGGAAAGGCTCCACGGATCATCAGCTTGATTCGTTTCTCCTCCGACAGGCACATATTACTTGTGTTCCCTCATGACAGCGAAATTTCAGCATAGAATCGACTCTGTCATGTTTGCACAGATCAGTCTTCCACAACACTTAGTTTGATTCATGCCTTCGATAACCCTGAAAAACATTGGCTTATTGCATTGCACTTTTATGCACGATGTTTGTCCTGCTGCCATAAAATGATTCAGCTGTGCTGAGAGGCCCATGAATTTTTACCAGCTTCATAAAAATTGATGTGATACCAAGTAACGTTAAAATTCATGATAGCGACATTGTGTGGCGCTATGATAGTAATAAACAGCATCAAAATCTCATTACGATTCCTCAAGTAATGCGGATCAGTGCCGAATAATTTA